CTTCAATATTGAAGTTTAAAGCCTATATGTTAAGAAGTCAAAGAATGAGGTGTATTGGAAAGTTTTTTTTTTTTAAAGGATCTTTTGTGAGTTTTTAAAAAGTTTAGTACTTTGAAGGAAAGAGGAGGATGAGAAAGAAAAGAAGGGGCTTCCCCAGCCCCCCTTTTTTCTCTTTCTTTCAGTAAGGTAAGGCCAAAGAATTTGAAAGAATACAATAAAGTTTGTAAATAAAAATGGTGACAACTCAGAAAGATTACTAGTTGCAAATGGAAATACACACTTTTTCCATAGCAAGGGAAATAAAGCAGGAATGATTAATCTGATTATTTAAAGAGGAAAATATGTTCTTTATTTGGATATCGTTCCTGGAATTTGTGCTTAGGAAGAAAAAAAATTAAACTTTGATCGTGCTTTTGTTGATTAGAAAGATTTGGGGTTATAGGAATAGCTAGTTATATATTAATGTGTAAAAGCCAAAAGTGTGTTTACCTTGTACTGTGTTGGAAGTGAGTGTCCCCTTTTCTTTCTTTTTCTCTTCCCCCTTGTATTTCACACCCCCTTTCCCCCCTTCCCTTTCCCTCCCTTAATTTCCTATTGTCTTTTCTTCTTTGTATTTTATATATATGATGAGAATTCTTAAAAAATGTGGCAACATTTAGGATGAGCAATGGGGTGAGTCTGGTGGATCTTTGGTGGGTTGTGAGTGCCCAGGAGCATCTCTTCAGCATTTCTGCCTGCCATAGGCCAGAAAAAGCAGGCGTGGGCAGCAGCTTGCCGTCCTGAGCCCCCTGCCAATTCTTTCTGCTGGAGGTTGGAGCTCCCTGCTGCCTTCCTGGGTCATGGAGGACATGATCCTTCTCCCACACGTAGCTGCAACTGCTAGCAATTTATTATAATATCCGTGGAGTGTGCAGGTCTGCGACGAACAAGCGTCATCTTGCCAGTCTGAGCAGGCGAGTTCTGCTCATCCCACAGATTCCTTTGCCAAAGAGAAAAAGGGTATATGGGAGCATTTTTGGGGTGATGCAATACAAAACTAATCAAACGAAAGGAGAATTTAATTCTGCTCATAGGTGGCAGAGCTTTTAACTCTATTGGGAATAATATTATCAATATTAGAAAAAGAGGAAGCAGAGAAGAATGCTTTGCGCTGCTTTGCAATGTGGGAAAACGGCATAACCGTGTGGCAGCCATCATCACCACCTGTTTGGGCAGGGGGTTGGACTAGATGACCTACAAAGTCTTTTCCATCTCTGTTAATCTGTATGTGCCAAGGCCGTAGGAGTAGAAGCCGTTCATTGATGATTTGTATATGTCCCTTTGCTCTGTCTTCCCCTGAGTTCAACAGAGTGGATTTTGGCTGTGACTCTCATAACGGAAAAGACACCAAAGTCAAGAAGCGGCAAAAGTCAGGAAGAAAACGGGCTTCAGGGTTTGTGGGAGAGGCTGTGGGGCCAGCAGTAGGCAAGGGATGAATCTGCAACTGGGCTGGGGGGCTAGAGAGCTTAGATCCCTGCCTGCTCTCCTCCAGACGCAGCAGAGAGGGGCTTCCATGGTTGCTAGCCAGGGATGATGGCAGAGGCCTTTCTCCAGAAGGCTCCGGAACAGCCCCCATCAAATAAGAATAGGCTGTTAAATGTATTTTGAGCAGCAAGACCTAGAGTGGTCCAGCTATGGAAAAGGAATGATTGAGGGGACACCTTTGACCTGGCATCTGCTGCAATGCTCACGTCTCATCTAAGAAGGAAGACTTGGCATCTAGTATACACACCAGGGGTGGGTTTCAACCGGTTCACGGCGGTCCCTGCGAACCGGTTGGTCGGCGAACCCGGAAGTAAGTAACTTCTGGGAACGGCGAAGGGCTCACCCCCCCGCCCACGCTCCTTACTCGGTTTTGACGAGTTCTGCGCTTCCACGCATGTGCAGGACACATACAGCACCTGCACGATCCTCCAGGAGCAGCTGGAGCATCACACAGATGCTAGTACGCATGCGTGCGCCGCACGCGCGCACGAGGAGACCGCCGGCCCCGTTCCAACCAAACCGGTTGGAACGGGGCCGGCGGTGT